TTAATATATAAATATTTTATATATACATATATAAATTATAAATATTTAAATATATAAAAATTAATAAATATATAAATTATATATATATAACTAATAATTAAATATATATATATATTATGTATATCATAGATTTATTATATAATTTTATATAATATTTAAATAATAAATCTATAATATTATTTTCGATATTATTATCGAATTGTAATATTTAAAAAAAAAAAAAAAAGAAGAAAAAACAAATATACCTAAGAATTAACAGAATGAACTATTTTTTATAATAATTCGAATGATAGAAAATTAATAGGAAAAAGAAAAAAAAAAACAACAAAAACTCTAGAAAATTACTGAAAGGCCATAATTTTTTTTTTCTCCTCTTTTTCATATTTAAAGAAGATAAAATAAGATAAAAGGAAGAAGAAGCAGAAGAAACAGAAGAAGAAGAAGAAGGAAAATAAAAAGAGGAAGAGAAATCAAATAACCGGTTTCGCTGTTAAGGCATCTAGGATTGTATGTTTGTGTGTGTGTGTCTGTGTGTGTGTATGTATGCGTGTGTGAGTTTAACGATGTGTTCAACGATGAGAATATGAATGAAAACGAAGTAGAAGATAGCAATTTGAGAAAATAAGCGAAATCTCTACCGAACGATTTGTATTTGAACTTTTTAATACGAATGGTAACATACTAAAAAGAGACAGAGATAAAACGAATCGAAAAGATAAAAAGAAAAAGAAAAAAGAGACAGAGAGAGAGAGAGAGACACACACACACAGATAGACAGACAGACAGACAGAGAAACAGTCAGATAAAGAAAGAGAGAATGAGAGAGGGAGAGAGAGAGAGAGAGAGAGAGAGAGATAAAAAATAGATGAAGTAATAATAAAGGATAATACTAATAACGATTCTTACTTGGGTTCTTGGTAAAACTTGGTTGAATGACGAAAATTGCAAGATTTGTTTGAAAGGCGAGAGCAAAAGCAGCAAAAGTAGCAGAACCAGAAGCACCATGATCGTCGGGGAATAATAAATCAGAAAAAAAAGGAATTCAGAGATAAAAACTAGAAAAAAAATAGAAAAAGAGAAAGGAAAGAATAGAAAGAAAGAAAGAAAGAAAGAATTTTCTTGTGCAAGGTAGAATTATTGACGTCTGAGATTGCGAATAGAACCATGGGATGTGAATAATAATAAGAAAAGAAGAAGAAGAAGAAGAAGAAGAAAAGAAGAATAAAAAAAAAGGATAGAAAGTGTTGGTGAAGGTGGTGATTGGTGATTGGTGATGGTTGGTAGAAAAAATAGGAAATACTTCAAAGATTTCTTAAAACAAAATTTTCTTAACTCTCATTATACTAATTGTTTTTAAATATTATTTATTAATTCAACTTTAGTAATCAATTCGTAATCAAACTCGTAAAACAAAATATCATCTCTATCTGTTTATTAGAATCGTTAAAAATCAATTGAAAAAAAAATTATAATTCAGGAAAGTTTTTTCTGTTTTTTTTTTCTTTTTTTCTTTTTTTTTTTTTTTTTTTTGATTGAATCATGTTAATTCATTTTTATCGTCGAACAATATTATTATTATTATTATTATTATTAACTTATAATAGTTATCGTTTAATTGTATAAACGAAAAGGACTAATTGCAAGTTTTGTTTGTATTAACATATATATATATATATATTTTCCATCTCTTTTTCCTATACTTTCCTTTTCAATAATTCGATTCGTTTCAATTGCGTGTCAATGGCTAGTGAAATGGTTTTTTTCTTTTTTTTTTTTTTTTAATTTAAATTTAAATTGAATAAACTTTCACAACAAATCGATAAGAAACATTTTATTAAAATACTTCAAAGATATAAGTTTGTGGGGTGGCACGTGTGTTCGGTGAGTTTTTTTTTTTCTTTTCTTTTCGGAAAGATATAATACGTGTTTGGGTTGGTTTGTTTCAAGGTCACGTTTCACGAAAGCAGGAACAAACTTATAACACGTATTTTGTCAGAATATTATTCCTCTTTTATCTGTCGCATCATTTATCCAACTTTATCCTTCGTAGAAGAAGAAGAAGAAGATAATAATAATAATAATAATAATAATAATAATAATAATTACGTGACTATTGGATATTTCGAAGATAATATCATCTCTCAAATTTTGAGAATTTATATTTGAACCTTTTATTTTTTTTCTTTTTTTTTTTTTATTTGCAACGAATACATTTAATCGAGTTTAATCGTTGGTATCAAGTTTGTTAAGTTGTTTAAGTTAGTTCGATATTCATTCTTATTAAAAGGACACGAAATTTTTTCCCCTTTTTTCTATCCTTCCGTTCATCCTTCACCTCTTCTTCTTTTCGTGAAACTTTGATAACTTTTCGAATTAAAAAAAAACAAAAAAAACAACAAATTTGTAAATCGTGACAAAGTTTTGCATACAAGTAAAAAAAAAAAAGATTATCAGGATTTACCAATTTAATTTATTTGTGTGTGTGTTTATTTTATTAATCGATGTTTTAAACGACGATTTTAATTTTAATGACCCGAAGAATCGTTAAACTGTAAAGAAAAAAAAAAGAAAAAAAAAAGAAAAAAAAAAATCATTGTAAAACAAATCAAGTAAACTTTTGTTCTTCTCGGTTAATCCGATAAATGTTCGTATTAAATTCTACTTAAGAAATTTTTCTTGGAAATTTTACGTGTGCTTAAGTGCGTGTGTATGTGTGTTTTATAGTGTTCTTTGTGTGTGTAAAAAGATATGATAAGAAGAAGAAGAAGAATAAGAATAAGAATAAGAATAAGAAGAAGAAGAATAAAAATCATAACAAATAAAATCATCGATAGAATGATTTTACTATTATTATTATTATAAATAAACACGAATTACAAATAACAAATTACGAATTACAATTAAAGTGGATTTGTTTGAAATTAATTAATTGAATTTAATTATAAAAATCAAATATTCTTTTTTACTTTGACAAGAATAAAGAGAAGAGAAAAAAAAAAGGAGAAGAAGAGGAAACAAAAAATAAAAAAAACGACACACACAAAAAGGATATATTAAAAATTTGTTTATATAAATAAATATATAAACAAAATAGAGATAATAAAAAAAAATATATATATATATATATATATATATTATCTAAGAGATGAAGGGAAATTTGGAAGAATATAATCATAATCATAATCATAAAACCCTATCACATTTGAGAATTCATTTAATTCTCCTAATATATTGTTGTTTAAATGTTCAATTAACAACAAGTAATTATTATTATCATCAGATGAGAAAATGTTGTTTGTCAGAACAACTTTTGTCCAACAGAACGAGAATCGATTGTATCACAGAATACAATTCGAATATTGAATTGTATAGTTATTCAGATATGAAAAATATACAAAATTACGTCATACCTAAATGTGATAATTTCAATGAAACAACCGTGATATATTTGGATGGTATTAAATCGGATGATTTAAATAAAAGTCACGCATGTTTGGATATTGTTCAACGTGAAACTATACCAAAGGAATTACCCATATTAGTTTATTGTCATTTAAATAAAAATAATACTAACAAAATAGCTAATGAATTATCATCATTAATTACAACGATAAGAAGATGTTGTCCTAAATATATGATTTATGATCCAAATAATAAATCATGCGTACCATTCAATTATTCGGTATACGAATTTCAATTATCATTGATAAATAATAACAATAATAATAATAATAGTAGTTTTAATAATGATAACATGATAGATTATTTTGAGGATACATTTATGTCATTATTACCAATCGTCAAACCAAAGGATTTTTTATTGGCTGTTACGAGAGGACCACCAATTTGCAAAAATGTTATATTTGATTTGAATATAACCTCAAACGATCTCATATACGAAGATGGACTCTTCAAAGTGAGTATTAATAAATATTGCTTTATTTTGTGTTGTATTTTGTTTTGTGTGTGTGTGTTTTTTTTTGGTATTGCGTTTCTTGTTTTTTTTTTTTTTATTTTATAAAAGATTTCAATAGGATTTTTTTTTATCCGATGGAAATGAAAATGTAGATTATATTTTTTTTTTCATCTTGTTGTTGTTAGATTAATCTCGAATTAATTCTCGTAATAATCCTCCCTTGCATGGCTTTTCGTGAATATGTCCTTCTATCAAACGGTTACCGATGTTTGTTTGCATCGTGTACACATTTCTATCGTATTTGAACGATTTATTTGCAAGTTTGCGCAGCATAAACAGATCAACGTGTGCACATGCTACCAGTGGTTACATTTTTAAATTGTAGTTATTATTAAAAATAGAAATATATATATATAATTAAAGTGTTCTATGAAATATTCAAATATTCCCTTATGTAAGAATAATTGTTTTCCTCATTGATTACTTATCACATTATAAAATGACTATGACATTTGTAATACATACATAATATACTAACAGATAAATACATACATGTAGGGAATTTTATTTAGGGTGACAGGTGCGAGGTGAACATACACCCAGTTTAATCCTACTAATAAGATTTATTTAAAACAGGTATTAGAAAAAGTACAATATTAGTTTCATAATCTTACGATTACAACTTAGATGAGCTATGACTGTATTCTTACAACTGATACAACTGCGACTGTTACAACTGATGTCTAACTACGGCTACGATTATGACTACTGTGACTACTGCTCTACTTCTAYGACTGAGACTGCTTACTTCTTATTCCTTTCCACGTATTTTATATCAGAAATGACCTACACCCCTTTTGAGAGAGAAAGAGCTTACGAATCTTATTGACCAATAGCATAAGRATCCACCCCATAGTYCACCGACGGGTACAGTCTATGGTTTTCGGTAGTGGGAACTATGCATAAAGAAACTTAATCTAGCACATCGTAATGTTACCCTTTTTATGGTATATCGCATATGTTTACATAGGAATCTGAAATTCTTCAAAGGGTCCCAACACTGCACAAAGTGTTTTTATTGCACCAATATATCCCGATAATCCTAAGGTTTGTTTATGGTTTTATGGCCTTCCTAATCTTYTCTTTTAGTCTCTRAATAGAGTTATTCCTTTCCAAAAAATAAGATATAAAGAAAAGGACTGAATACTAGTTGTTCGTCTACATYTGCTACACTTAAAACTCTCCTACATACATTATATTGATTACACTCAAATWAATGATAACCTTTGTAATAAGTAAATAATGTAGGAACGTTTTCTATATTATATATTAACTATYATAATAGAATACCATAAAAATAGTAACCATGTTATTTGATACATTAAAATATTCTTTTATATTATAATATAGAACTTATGAAGTGAAAACTTCTTTAGGCGAGGCTCTTTTCCGTTTCCGTTTACGAGGCTCGTTTACGAGGCTTGTGTTCACGATAATATTATAATTGAATATTATTATAATACAAATATTTGGTATGTACAATAGGGTGGGTCGAAAAAATCAAYTATTTCTTTTTTTTTACAAGTGCCACGGAAAAATGGGTTGCTAGACATCTTAAAAAAAATGCTCACCAAATATGAGCTCTTAATTTTAATAGGAAGGTTCTCCTCCGCATCGCAGTTTTTTTATTTTTTTCTCAGTCCAATAGAATAAAATTCATATCTCATCATTAATTGATTGTAGAGAAAAATGTTCTGAAAGAATTTTGTAGGAAATTAACTGCTCTATAAAATTGGTGACTTATGTTTTGGCGATTAAATTAGGCGTTCAAAAGATATTCATCATCAAACTTTCATGTGTACTGATTTCTGTCTCTGAATATCTTATATAATGATATAAATAAATGAATATATATATATATATATATATGCAATAATAAAATGTAAGATTTAATCTTTCAAGTTTAGAATTAACATATTAAACTAATTATTAATTGTAAATGATGTATAAAACTAAAACTGTAATAAATCTTTTTTTTACAAATTTGTTTTTTAATATGTATTAATTTTTTAATGTTGTGTAAAATGTTTGTATCATTACATTTTTATGATGTTACAGTGTAGTGTACATGTTGTTGGTAATGTACGTATTTATGTGTTTTCTGTTAAAAAAAAAAAAATAATATAGTCAGGTTAAAAAGTACAACAAAGTTGGCCGTTAAAACTAAATATTTCGTAATAGGTATTATCAAAAAGTACGATCGTCGATAATATTTTTGAATTAACAATTTAATCGTTAGATCGTAAAGATAAAGTTCTCCTACAGATGATATATAGAAAATACTTTTACTGATATTGTAGTAGTAATAGTAGTAGTATTAGTAGTAAGAGTAGTAGTAGTAGTAGTAGTAGTAGTAGTAGTAGTATTGTAGTAACAGAGTCGTAAAAAAATGAATGATCGTAAGTCGTTAACATTTTTCTACAATCCCAATTTGAATATCAATCTATCTTGTTTTTACGATACTGTGTGAACGAAAAAAAAAAACAAAAAAAAAAAAAATTAAAAAAAATGCTCTCGAATAAAGTTTTCCCAATGCAAGTGTAAAAATTTGATTATTACAATTTTTGTTGTTGTGTGTGCNCATCAACAAAAAAAAATGAAATTTGTCTTAAAATAATCAAACTTAAATCATGAATATCATTCAAATGGTGAGGTTTACGGAAAAAATATAAGATACCTTTTTTGTAGAGCATTAAATTTCCTACAAAATTTGTCTAGAACATTTTTCTCTACAATCAATTAATGATGAGGTATGAATTTTATTCTATTGGACTGAGAAAAAAAAAATAAAAAAAACTGCGATGCAGAGGACCTTGCTATTAAAATTAAGAGGTCATATTTGGTGAGAAATTTTTTTAAGATGTCTGGCAACCCATTTTTCCGTGACACTTGTAAAAAAAGAAAAATAATTGATTTTTTTGACCCACCCTAATGTATAATAATATATAGTATTTTATTATATGTATTATGTTTGATTAAAATATTAGTATATGTCGGAATAACTTGTTTTTCTTGTCAATTACTTATTACATAAAATAAATATAAATATAAGTATAATTATATTATAAAATAATTATGTGAAATGTTTAATACATTTATAAAAATTAAAAAGATATTTATTTTAATAATAATAATAATAATAATAATATTTTTGATTTTTTCCAAACGAGAAATGATTAATATTATTAGTACAAAAAATAAGAATATAAAACGCAATCATATTAATCGTATCAATTTAATTTGATGACACATGGGGAAGTTTTTTTTTGTTTTTTATTAGCAGATAATTTATATAACGATTATTTATCCTGATATTAATTTTAATCATGAGAAATATCATTTAATGGAATTAATCAATTTAATAAACTAACCGATCACATGCTGATCGTATGGTGATCGCATGATCACGTGTTGTTTTATGAAAGTAATCAATTAAATGTAGTTTGTTCATAATAAAACGTATCTTTGGTAAGCATAGGTAAGCATATTATTTGTTACACAATGATGATGATGATAATAATAATGATGATGATGATGATACTGATGATACATGTTATTTTTATCATGGATGAATATTCCACTTTAATTTTTGTTGATTTAGAATGTTCGATTATAAAAAAGAAAAAGAACAAATTGTCATAATCATCATAATGATCTTTGGTGTTCCTGTAATTTCGTTTAATCGTCTCGTTTGTTTGCAAAACGACATATTCAATGGAACTCATGGGAAATGAGGTTATAGGGTTGATATTCTAGTAACTAAAGGTTTTTCGATTTAAACGACAGAATTTAAACTCTTTTAAGTATCTTTCTAAAGAAAGAAAGAAAGAAAAAAAAAAGAAAAGAAATGAGAAAGAATTGCTGAGATAAGAACTGTTCTTTATTTAAAAAGAAATTTGCAAGTTAAGCGATTAAGAGACTATAACTAGGATATGTCCTAGTTCTATCGATAATAGTAATTGGTAATAGTGAATGAAACCGATCAAAGTTAAAAAAGAGAAAGAAAAGACTAGATTTTTCCCTAATTTTATATTATTTTTTTTTTCTTTTTGTTTTTTTTTTAAATACTTGTCAGGAATTTTTTTAATATTTCGATTAAAAAATATATATATAATACATACATATATATTTAATTATATATACATATATAATATATAAACATACTAATATAACATATATTAAATTATATTGTTATTATTATTATTATTATTATTATTAATATAACATATTATAAAAATTATATAATTAAATTAATTATTAAATATAATACACACACAATATTTTTCCAACTATGAAATATAAATATATATTTAAATATATATATGTATTTATATATTATATATATAATTTTTATAAATATATATATATATATAATTATATTTATATATATACGTTATTTGATTTAATTATTTAATAAGAATTATTATATTAAAGTAAATCAATCCTATAGTATAGTTTTGATTTAAAAAATTTGATTAACTTTTACATTTAGTGAAATACATATATTTAATCTTTTATAATAACTGGATAGAAATAAGAAGATTAAAAAAAAAAAAAAGAGAAAACAAATAATAAACATAAATTGAATGGTCGAAGATCGAACCAGTTTGGCAATTTCTTAACAAGTTAACATAAGCAAAGTTTGAGTGTAGTGTCTTTTGTGCTTCTCTATTGAAGATGAGGGGAAGTCCCGATCGATAATCTAATAGTAATTAACGACTTTAATAGATACCCTCCTCCAGTTCGAAAAGGCAAGAAGTAGAAGTAGAAGTAGAAGTAGAAGAAGAAGATGAAGAAGTAGAAGAAGATGGTAGAAGAAATTTATCGAGTTTAAGAACTCTCCAGGAAGCAATAAACCTTCCTTCCTTAAAACTTATATCGCAACGAATATTGTCAAGGTCTACTACTAGATAGATAATTGTTCATATATATTTTACACGTTTTTATCTAGATTATTTATATAGATATATTATATTTCAAATAAAGGATAATACTGCACGTGGATAATACAAAATCATACGTATTAATATTTCGTTGAATAATTTGAAACATAATTTAACCCTTAGAGTGCTATGAACGCATATATGCGTTTGGTAAAAAATTAATAACCTTATTGTTCGAAGCATATATACGTGTTTTTTTAATATTAATGTAAAATAATATAATGTTTATATTAATTAATTAATTAAATTATATTCAACGGAAACAAAAAACATTACCTATTTTACTTAATATTTTATAAATTAAAATTAATATATTAAATATATTATTTAAATATA